CCCTTCCCCTTCCTGTGACCTTCCTCCTCTCTTCTCTTCTTCCTTTTTTTCTCCTCATCTTCCTTCTAGTCTATTCTTGTCATCTTCCATTTCTCTTCTTTCTTTTCTCCACAGTCTCTCATCTTCCTATGCAGTGGTCTCATCTGAGCCCCCCACCACCACCTTCTCTATGCTGTCTCATTTCTTTCATCACTTTCGATTTTCTGCACTTTTCATTCTTCCCCTTCTCTCTCCTTCATAACTCCTTTTTTCCCCAAACCCTGGGTGTTTTAAGCTGTGGTTTTCATTAGGTGCTATTGGACACCATTGAAAAGGAAAAAAGATGAGACAATGGCTATTTCATATACAGTATGATATAAGATAAAGTTAGTTTGAAGTGACACTAATCAATCATGATTCTAGTGATGCACACGTCACCAACATAGAAACTTGACTGAAAAAACCTCATTTGCATTTGCATGCCTTGCATGGGAAACTATCTGAGAAAACAATGTAAGTTTATTGAAACAGTGTAAGAAAAAAAAGTTTTTTCATCCAAAGCTTCTTTAAATATATCTGATGCAGAGTATGATATCATTTACGATGACATACAATATATGTAGCAATTGTTTTTTTATTTTTGCAAACATTTATTGCCTTTCCCCAAACTATGATCTCTGGTGTTTTTTAAACACCCTGTATCTATTAGTAGCAGCAAATGAGTCGAACAATCGACTTTTTGACGAACAAATTAAGATGCAAATAATGGAAAAAAAAGCACTTTAACTTTTTCTCGAACAGAGCAGGCAAATTTAAATAGCAGAATTTCAATTACAATACCAGCTATTATATAAATAAGGTTTTATTTTCACAAAAACCCATATTTTTCATAAATTCTGTTTCAAATGTGATTTATCTGGAATACATACATGTGTATATCACATTTCTAAACGTGTAACACTGTAGCAAATCACACAGAAAATATACAATATAGATGTATCGTGCAGTTGACAGAAAAAATTCAAAAAAATAAAATAATCAGTGTACTTTTGGAATTATTTGGGGAGAGGTAAATGCATGCACTTTTATGCAAAAATACATATGCGAATGACAAAACTGTAAATATGAACCTTGCATGAAATAAATTTTGTATCCAATCTGTATATAGACTCTGGTTTTCTTTGACAGAACATGCATACATGACTCCCCCGGTTGCTTGGCAATAAGCTGTGCCTGTATTGTGATGTCTCTTTGATCTTTCACCCTGTCTTTATCACTGAGCTGTTTTTCCCGGCAGCTATTTTTGGAATTTACAGTCCATATTTAAAGTTGCAATTATGCACCAGTGTTACTAGCTCATAATTCAATCTTGGTAAAAGGATGCACAATCACACTTGGATCTTAAAAGGTCAGAAAGGTCAAAGAGAGAGCGTGTGACCTCCCGGTAAAGCGGGGGGGATTGAAACAGGAGAGCCGAGGCAGGACTAGCGGTGATCGTGCCCTGTTTCGCACACCGGTAGCATGCCACAAGTCATTAACCGAGCATGTCACACCGTCCCACTGCGTACAAAACCAATCACAGCATGACCTGATGAGTTAATCGTATTAACAATAACCTGTAGCCTTACACCGGATCTGAATGCAGCATGGGAGAGTGCATGGTAAACCCTGAGTTTACCATGAGCCTGTAAAGACGGTCATATTTACCTGCTTGACACACATCAACCTGATTGCTTGCACGGTTCAAGGGACAACAATCCCGCCAACCTTCTTCATCCGCCCACCCCCCTCCCCCATGTTTCTGTGCTGTTCGTTTGGTGTATTAATATGATTTTCCTTGTTGTTTGTTGTTGTTGTTTTCTCTTCGTGTTTTTTTAGAGACCCAGCGCGCCAACCGAAGCAGACAACCAACCGAGTCAGTGTGTGTAATGAACCATGGTATACCAACCACTATGTGTGTCAACCATAAAGCCACATCCCCCACCTGATAGTACCGTATTTAGCACGTGTGTGTGAGTGTGTGCTGCGCGTTTGTTGTAGATTATCACTTCTCTTCCGAGTTGTGACTGAGAATTAATTCAGCGTAGATGTAGCACAGTAACCAAGAGAAGCTGTAGTTGTTCAGCCGTATGTAGCGTTGTTTCGTTCATGGTTTATTGTGCTGTCGTTTTGTGCGAAGTGCCTGTTGTTTTTCCGTTCGTGAGTGTCAGTGTTGTACATGGTTCTTGTGTGTGCTAGTGTTGTGAAAACATGACCTTTCTTTTATCTCGTTGAAGTGTTTGTTTTAGGTCGTTTAAATGTTGTAAAAATGTTACTCCAGTCGCCAATCACATTTCAGTGGGAAAAAATAAAACACAAATCCACGAGCTTTGTGATCATGTTTGAGTAGGGAGAAAAAAAAATTGTTTTCCGGAATTTTGTACTATTGTAGTTACCATGTAGACCATGCCTTTTGCACTGTTTGCACCGTTCACTTTTACATTCTTTTCTGTAGAACAAATGGCAATTTTATATATTTTGTAGCTCACATGATTGGATGGTAACTTTAGAGATGCACTGCGTACTAATCAGACGCGACTAGTCAGGCTCCGCCCACAATGAAATCTCACCGATTCAAAATTGTACTTATCTTAAATATTTATATTTGACGTTTAATATACATCGATCGTGTTCTGATTGACTGTGAAAATATGTAGTCGTTAAATTTTTTTATTAAATACTACCGTGTATTGTGCATGTTATTTTTTGACAGACAAAAAGTAACTTTTATTTTGTTGACTTTTGAAAATCAAGTTCTTTTTTTAACTAGGAAAGAAGTGGTTTTGATGCACAAAGTTATTTAAACCCATGAAAATGAGGATCCTGTTGTAAATAATAGTAAAAAATCACTTTATAAACCTGCCTCATCGATCGTGTTCTGATTGGCTGTGATTCAGCATAAAAAGACGTTATCGCTGAAAATTTGATGTGTCGTGCCTGGTTGGAACGCGGTGTTGGATTTGAAGGTAAAAAACTAAGGCTTGTTAGCACATTATTGGGACCAAACTCAGAATTTTTGAATGAATGGCAACACCATCATTGAGTTTGATGAGGAAAATGTTTGATAAATGCTTAGGTTGCATTTGAAACTTCAGCCTGAACATACAAGCTATTTTGAAAGCCACATATTACGGCAGTTTTCGTAGACAACATCACAAGAGACAATCCTGCACAGAACAACAACACAACTTTTTATAGAGAACATACAGGGTTTATGATGGAATAAACGAAAGGAACCGATACTGTGTCTCAAGTTTGTTTCGACATTTATTTTTCATTGTTGTGAAAATGTGAAGTAAACCCAATTCTTTGGGACCATACTAGTGCACTGCCAGTTGTATCACGGGAAATGTTGACGTTGGGTCGTTTCCTTACAACATGCTGGACTTTTCAAAGACCCAACCACAGCAGAGCACAAACAACAGTATATAATAAAACCTCCAAAGTTTCACAGTCTTTATGACTGCATAGTTTTTGGACACAGTAAACATCGAACTTCCTGGCAAAAGGCGGCATCCCAACGTTTGTGCTGTTTTGTCAGATGTTCCTTGTGTTTTTCAGCACATTGCAGTGCATAGTATGGATAGTTATCTAAAACCAGGTGGTGTTTTCATTGATGGTTTGAGTTGACATATTGTTAAGGCAATTTTGTGTCTTTTTCTGAAGAGAGATTTTAAAAAAGCAATGAAAATAAAATAATGACAATAAAAAGCACTAAAACAGATTTTGTGTGTTTTGTGGGTTTTTAAGCTTTAAGGCAGTGCAGACACAAAAAAAGTAATAGATGCATAAACAAACATACATGAATAATTCTAAAACATTTCATAAAACACATTTTAACACATTACTACATTTTATTAAAAAACACCTGTCAATCTCAGCGAGTGAAGAACAAATTTATTCTAGTTAAGTATTAGGTATGTTACGTTTCTGACAGACATCATGTTGAAGCTACTTAGGCTGCCATGTTCTCCTTCTCTGAGAGTGAAGATGTAGTGAAAAATCCGGTAGCAGGCTTCTCATAAATAAATGGTATTGCGCATGTTATTTTTGACAGACAAAATATTACATTCATCTGTCGCAAATTTGTTGACTTTTGAAAATCAAGATCTTTTTTTGAGTGGTTTTGATGCACAATTTTGTTTTTATTGTCTCTTACAACAAAATATTTTATTCGAACCCATGAAAATACAGATCCCGTTGTCAATAATATTGAAAAATCACTTTTTAAACCTCCCCCCGCCCAGTCTTTAGAAAATTATCACTCTCGGATCAAATGACTGCCCTATCACAGGGCATTCTGGGAGATTGAGTGCTTTCAGACAGGTCATTTCAAGGCAGTAAATCCGTTTCAGTTAATGGCTCCACAGTGAAGGTTATTTAAGGGTATGCTCTGTCACTGTGAGGTAAAAGGTCAGAGGAAATAATCGTTGACCATCCATCACAGCAAAGGAAGCGTGAATGGCCATTTCAGCAGTGAATTGTTAAACCCATCCAGAGTGAGCGTCTGATTGAATTTGTCTGTTCTCATTGAATTCCAGTCTTTTTGAATTGTTGCAAAGACACTAGTACAGTATGTACAAGCCCAAATTCATCACTGAATGAACTGGGAGAAAAAAAGGTTTATAACAACATGAGTGAGAATTTTTATTTCTACTATTCCTTACTGACCAATATATCAACTAAATGTTAACATTTACTATATTAACATTTAGAACATGCCTGTAAAATAAATCTCATTTAAGTTATGAAAATTAGCATGAAGCTGCAAATAGACCTAGTGTTCTTGTTTCTAAAAACGTTTATTTTGGACGCTTCCTGATGTCATAAGCATAATGTGTGCATCCGTGGGTAGTATTTGCATCTCTACGACTTTGATCTAAAATCTGTCCTTTAAAGGCTTAAATGTGTCTTTCAGAATAATTAAAACCGTAACGTAAGCAAACAGTCTTTGTCACAGTCTGAGAGCCAAACGCTCAAGCCTGTTCAGCTTGCTGAATCCTCGTTGCTCTTCAAATTGCATAGTGCCAATGAATGTCCTGATCCACAGCCAATCAGAAGAGTCGTGGCGTCTCTGAAACGGGGGATTGGCCGCGGTTGTGTGACGTCACAGAGGGAACCATCTCCACACATTCCGTGTTCATTCCAGCCCCAGGAGGCAATCTGACCCCCTATAGAGAAACAGTGAAATATGTTCCATGACAAATGTTACCACCAAAAGACAAGACGTTTAGAGGTTTTATTTTTACAAATAAACAAAAATTATTAAATGATAAAATTATACATTTTAGAGAAATGTTGGTCCCACTTTATATTAAGTGGCCTTAACTACTATGTCCTTACATCAATAAATAAGTACAATGTACTTATTGTGTTCATATTGTATTGCAAAACACTTTTGCTGTTATTGAGGTGGGATATGGGTAAGGTTAGGGACAGGTTTGGTGGTTTGGGTAGCTTTAAGGGTGGGTTAAGGTGTAAGGGATTGGTCAACAGTGTAACTATTTATTAATTAATTACAGATGCAATTACATGCAGGTATTTTTAAAATATAAGTACAATGTAAAAACATGTATGTACACAATAAGTGCATTGTACCAAATGATTAATTCAAATGTAAGTACATAGTTGTTAAGACCACTTAATATAAAGTGGGTCCGAAATGTTTTTATAAAAATAAAGATACTAGATAATTTAGACAACAGGAAGGCAGGCAGACAGACAGACAGACAGACAGACAGATAGATAAGACAGATAATTTAATGTAATATATTTACATTCATTTCTTATCATTAAATACATTAAATTACATTTTTACAAAGTAAAAAAAAAACATTAAACGTATTAATTATTTTAAAATATTAATTATAGACAAAATACATTTAGAGGTCTTATTTTTACAAATTAACAAATTATTAAATGATAAAATTATACATTTTATAAAAATGTTTTTATAAAAATAAAGACTTAATTTAGACAACAGACAGATAGATAGACTTTATTTCAGAATTTATTTACCAAGTAATTTATTTAAATTTAAAATAATTTAGACGTTTTCTTAAAAATTAACAAAATAATATATTTACACAAAAAGACCCCTTTATAGATAGATTTATTATTTAAAGTAATTTACTTAAATTAATTTTTATCATTAAATACATTCAATTTAATTTTTTACAAAAGTAAAATTTTACAAAGTAAATATTAATTATTAAATTAAATAGAGATAAAAAGTAGATATTGATTTATTAATAATTATAATTTATTCATTATAAAATTATTTAGAATTTTTTTTTTTTACAAATAAACAAAATTATTCAAAATAAAAATATATTTATATAAATAAGACCTTTATAATTTAGATGAAAGTTTATTTTAAAATGTATTAATTCATTTTATTTATTATTATCATTATAAAACGGAAAAACATTGTTTTATAATATATATAAAATGTAAAATTATGCATACTAAAATGTTTTAAATTTTTTTTATTTTAAATGTTTTGAAAATAAAGTCAGACAAACAGACTCTTTAGGGATTATTTGCTCAACTGATGGAGAATGGCGTTGCAACTCCAAAGTCATGTGGCTGCTTGTACACACATCACACTGGTGAATCAGTCTGACAGAGACGTCTTGGACTCCACGTGCCACGGCAACATGGTTACATAACAGGTCCCATCGCCACGGCAACCAGGAGCTAGCATGCTTTCTCAAGGGTAACTGGTTTTGTCGCCTACATTCCCCTATTCACTTTAACACATGCGTCCTTACCCAATCCATTGTTTTCTTGTCTGTAAGTTATCTACGATTATGCAAAATCATTAATTACATACAAACAAATGTTTACCGAAAAGAAAAGTAGGACTATTGCGCACAAAAATGACATTGTTAACATAAAAAGGACAAAAACGTCTTGTTTAGTGAATCATTGTCCTTGTGGATAACATGATATTCACAAAACAAGAGCTCTAGTGTTCAGTTGATGATGCACAGCAAAACTGTTCCCATGGCAACACACTTACAGACCATAGAAACATATAGAACGGCATACTAATCTAGACAAGAGAATATGAAAAAAAGACTTCGCTGAAGCTTTAAAGAGATGGGTGAACATGGTCACCACTCTTTAATCTCATTTAAAGACGGAAGTGTCATGCGTGCTTCGAGAACGCTGTGTGATTCCCGAGGCACGCTGGGATGTTATTCCTTTGCTCTGTTGTGCCATAAGACGTCATGATTTTGTCCCATCACACAAAGGAACAAAAGATTCCCCAAGAAACCAATACTTATTTAATAATCACAAATATTTATTTTCAAGGTAATTTGGCTCTTTTCAACTTGGTTGTCATACTAGCTAATGAATTAAACTGCTTCCACATTAGTTTGAACAATTTAGAAAGAAAGAAACCATGAAAAAATTCACTAAATTTCATGTCTAAATATTGTTGTCAGTTGCATTACTGATTTGGAGAGTCATAGTGTTGATTTGGAGAGTCATGGAGTCATGGAAATAGAAATGTGGATCATATTTCACCTCAAATGCAAAAAAAAATTTGGGAATTCTAATTTCATTCTGACTAATATAATACAGAAATTACACAATGGACACAATAATTTTTTTAATTAGCAAAAATTAAACAACAAATACTGCTTCATTTAAATAAAATTTACTATATATATATATATATATGTTATATATATGTTATAAACTTTTACTATTGCTATAAATATATTCTATTACTAGTACTATATAAATTATATATGTGTAATTGTACTTGCTATATGGTTAGGGTTAAGGATTGGTTTACAGTTAGTTGCATGCATAATTCACGTATATTGCATCATTTATGTAATGCATAATTTATTGTTATTACTATAGAAAGTACATGTAACATTCGTAACAAGGAAGCAAAAATAAAGTTTGTGTGTGTGCAACACCCCTAATTAACACGATAACGATATGTCATTATTTGATTGATTATCGTCAATACAGATAATCCGATAAAACGTATAGGGGTATCGCGATATCCTGGTATTGACGATAATCAAAAAAATAATGAAATATCGTTATCGTGATAATTAGGGGTGTCGCAATACACCAGTATTGGGGATATTTACAACTGAATAGTACACATATGATAATATGACATAATAATCCAGCACCAGCACCATTATGGAGCGTTAAACTCTCATGTGCGATTCGTTTCATTCATACTCGACACCGGAGGGTGCTCTCGTGCAGAAACTTGACAAGCAAGACTCATAGGAATGATAAAACAAATGACTTTCCAGGAAAGCCCTTATATGGACAAAGGCATCCAGCTCAAAGACTTTTAGAATACTCTTAAACAGTAATAATAATAAGCCTTAAAGGGACTTTGATCCCGCTGTTGCTGTAGCTGAGTAAAATGCAGACAGAAATCATTTGTATGATGAAACATGATGAGAATCAGCACACGATTACGACTGATAGGATTATTTATTTATTATTATTTATATATTATTACTATATTTCTATAGACATCACAACATATCATTATTGTATTTTTGAGGCCATGATAACTGCGTAGTGAAAAATCTGATATGACAGCCCTAATGTTATTATATATATACATATTTATATATATACTGTATATACAGTATATATGCATTATTATTATTTCATTAAGTATTATATATATATATATATAAAATATGAAATAATAATAATGCAAAAAAAGTGTTAGTGGTCATAAAAATAAGGCATTGTTTTCTTTATGCAAAATATAATTTCTCATTTTTTACTTTTGATTGTAGGATGAAATATGACAGGATAACAGGAAAAGATAGCAAGAAGACAGTTTTAAAGTTCACAAACAAACTACATGAACTGCAATTAGTCAAGGATATAACTATTTTTTTCTCCGTCCAAGTTGCTGGGGAATTAAAAGATTGAAAGAAACAGAAATAGCTTCTACATCAATAACTTCATATTCTTTTGCAGCGATGGCTCATTTCCCTCTGATGCCCTTACACAAAGACTAATTCCCAGCACCCTTCTATGATAGCAGTAAAGATCCCAGCACGGAGCTTGCGGCTTAATTACTCCAGCAACAGATACTCATCTGTCCTAAAGCTGAACACGCGGCGCTAAAACTGTCCTATTACTGAAATCCAGACGTTCAACTCTCAACAGTACAGAAAGCAGAGCTGTTCTCAGCATTAATTCTGGCCATCAGGCTTAGTGAAATCTCAAAATGCTAGCTTACTTAGTTTAATCCTGTCTTTTTCTCTCCCAGGCTCAATGTCAGAGCGGTCACATCCCATAATAGCTACTTTAAAAGCTACTTTACACCTAAAGATACTGTAGAATTATTGCCATGGCAACAGTACATGGGATGAAACCTCGGTACACGAGAGGATCTGCTGGGTGTCAGGAAACATGGAAACAAAATGCCTAGGTCATATTTCATCCCCAAATTAAAAGGAAAATAAAAACCATTTAAGTTATTTTCATGACAATTAAGCACTTAAGCAATAAATGCAATAAAACAATACTATTTTGTGAAATATGGATGCTTCATTGATTTATATATAAAAAAAAAAAAAAATATATATATACATACACTGTATATTACAAATGGATAATAATACACACATTATATTTCTTTCATTTAATTAATTTTAGTTAATTTTAAATTTTAATTACTTCAATTTACTGTGGTAATGAGAGTCGATTAAAAATGGAAACAAATAAAAATAATTAATTTCATGCTAAATAAATTATTTTTCACTATAAAAACTATAAAACTCATCATTAAGGATGACGACAAACAGAAGAAAAATAAAACAGTAAAACATTCATTCAAAGTAAAGAATATTTGCGGGACAATATGTTTGATTGTCATGAAAATAATGGCTTCATTGTATGCTAAATAAATATACATACATTTTTGGTGAACTATATGAGATTGACCTGATGATGCTCACAGAAAACCCCTGGTCTTTTTTTTTTTTGATTGACATTTGGATTTCTGATGGTAGTGGCAGTGATTGACTCCCAGTATTCATTTCAAAGAGTGCGTGACAAAGGCCTTGACAGCTTTCTTTCCAATGACTGTTATGGGAAATTAGATACGTGAAGACCACAGGTGTTGCCATGGAGACTAGATACCAAAAACATTCATAAC